TACTCACCGGCCTAAATTAAGTGAGTCATAATTTGATAAATTTGATTGGTTAAAAAAAAATACAAAAACTATAAAAGAATGAGCTATTCTCTTGAGTGTCTCAGAAAATTTTCTCAACCTAGAATACAAAGTTCTTCGAACTAGTTATTCATATTTTTTTTAAAAAAAATTTTTTTTAAAAGAAAATAAGTAATTTGATTATTTACTAACAAAATTACTAAAAATCTTTGAACGTCTATGTTTTTCTGTATATTTTTAGAAAATGCCCTATCTCCGGCAATCTTTATCTAAAGATTCTACTATGCTAACCTTAGAAATGTTTCTAAGTACACTTCTAGAATAGATTTCAGGCAAGTTAAATCTCAAATTTCATGCAAAATGGACAGAAACTCACGGAGATATTTGATTTTTGTGAAAAATAGATACTTATGTTTTTCTTTAATTTTCTCTTGCAGAAAATTAATTCCAGAAGGTATTTGGTGAAATGAAACATAGAAACATGTATTATTAATAGCGATTATTGGCAAGATATTCATCTATTTGCAGTTAAAATTTCAGCCCTCTAGCATCGATATTGACAAAATGATGAGATTTTTTCATAATTCTTTTTAGATATAAAAATTTTTGATGAAGTTACAGAAAATTTCTTGGTTTTATCCCAGATTTCAAGAACCTACATATTAATGTATGCTCAAATTTCACATGTCAGTTGGAACGATACGTAGGATTTTTTCTGTAAAGTTTGGAAGGTCTTGGATGAATATTGGTTGAAATCTTGAATTTTTTTATTAAGAAAATGCCTATAGTTTTTGCAGATCACTTTGTATATATGTTTTGATATGTTTTTTGATTATAACAGAATAGTTTACTAATATAATAACTAAATGGTCTTATGTAACTAATATTTTTTTTGTTTGTTCTACAACTTTCATTAATGTCATTAAAGTGATTTTGTTAGTAAAATTTCATATAAACCACGATTTTTGTTCTGATAGCTTTTTTAAAAATGTTTTTTATTTAAAATTAATAAACTTCTTTACTAAGTATTAAAAATACCTAGTAGAATTTAAATTATGTAAATTGAAAATTCCAATAACTCCAAACTCAAAATTCTGAAAATTCAATTTTACATTGTATAAAAGGCTTGATACAATTCATGATTATATAACACAAATTTTAATACAAAATCATGTTCTTTCTCTCAGTTACGATTTCAATTTGAAAAGAATGATGAATCATCAGAACCTGGAAAATATCATACACAAGGTTTTGTTAAATTATATAAAGGAAAACAATTATTGCTTGGAAGCTATAATTCTTTAACAAAGAAAGGTTCTGGAATCAAAGGATATTTTCAAGCAAATCTTCATGTTGAATTCACGAATAGTACAGATGATGAATGCTTAGCATATTGTAGAAAGTGCTATAATCGTTATAAAAATCCAGAACATAATCACAATCCTAAAAAAGGTGAAAAGTGTAAATGTAATTTTCAAGACCTTACAAAATTTTGTAAATTTTGTAATGAAAAGTGTATAAGGACATTTGCTCAAATAAGTGAAGACCCATTAAATGCAGGACTATTTGATTTTGTTTATAATGAAACTAAATTTGAAAATGAATTTAAAAAGAATGATGAATCAAATGAAACTAAACAGGATAAAAACAAAGCAGTAAAATTAATAGAGGATATAGTTGAAAATGATTTATCTAGTGATGAGGCTGTTGTCAAATATGCGAAAAATAATTCTTAATGATTATTAAATAATCCAAAAAATATTTATGTTGTTCGAGAAGCAATTAAAAATATATGAAAAAAGAAAAAAAATATTCAATTACAAAGATTCTGGCACCTAGTAACATTTTATTTCTATGGATTTGGAGACGCTAGGAAATCACATCTTGTGCAGAAATTATTTAGTTCAAAGTTGTATTTAAAAAAAAAGAAACAAAGATTAGGTTCTAACTGGTAAAATAGCTATCATCAACAAGAAATTGTATTTCTCGATGAGTGGTATACTAAAATTGATTGGTCAGATATTGTAAATTATCTTAATGATACTCCAGAGGAAGTAGAAATTAAGCACAAAGGATTTGTCCCATTTTTTGCAAAATACATTTTCATAACTAGCAAAAAATGTCCTGAAGAAGCTTTTAACTTTGGCCAACATAATGGTGAAGATAATAACAAGCAAAGTTATGATCAATTTATTCGTCAATTGGATTTTGTCATCGAGTTTAAGGGTGAATGGCATAATGTTATTGAGAAACGTACAACAGAATTAATATTTCACAAAGGTTCAGAATTAGATTTTCATAATATTATTTGGGATTTGAAATATGAAAAAAATGAACATACAACTGATGAGTTAACAAAAATTGTACAAGATCTCAATAAAGATATAGAAGGAACTGTGATAATTAAAGAAAATCAAGTATATTGGCATCAAAAATTTCTAGAATTCAAAAAAAAATATTTAAATGATTATCCTCAATATAAAGAACTATCAAACTACAAACAAGAAGTTGAAAATTCAATAAAAAGAAAATTAGAAATTGAATTAAATTCAAACAAAAAATATCATACAACAGTTAAATCAGATAATGGAGTCGAAACAGATTTTGATTCAGATCCAGAAGTACAAAAGAATTCATCTAATACTTTAATGAATTATTTAAACCAAGACAGCATTGAAATGGATTATGAATTAGATCTACAAATCGAATCTTCAACTCAACAAAACAACTATCAACACTCAAAAAATTTTAGCAATACAGAATTTGAATTATCTGAACTTGATTCAGATGATTCTGAATATACCCGTAAAATTAATATTGATAATAATATACAAACTATCATTCAGTATCATCAAGAGCTAAACAATAATGGTAAATGCATTCATGAATCTAAGAAATATTTAGTTGGTGAAAATTATTTGTTTGAAGATTATGTATTGAATATTGGTAAAGATTTATTAAAAATTAAAAAAGCAAAAATTAATATAGAGTCTAGTTCAGTAGATAAATTAGATAAAAATAATTCTTTATACCAGGTTTAAAACGATTAATTAAAAATATTTAACTTTTATTTTTGTATTTTTTTTATTTAAATTATAATTATCTATAAATATATCTATTTTATTAAATAAAATTATTTTTTATAATGGAAGTATCTCAAAGAAATTTAGCATTATTGGCTAACAATGAAGAGCTAATACGAACAAATACTAACTTATGTAATCAAATTCTTGAATTACAAAACACTAATGATGATTTAACCAATCAAATTTGCAAATTAAACAAACTGATTGATTCATTAAAACTTGTAACAATTGATGCTCTGGATCAGAAACAGCTATACAAAACAGAAAATCTTGCTGCATTTGAAAAAAAAGTGGATGAAATTATTTTTCTTAATTTTTTAGATGATTTTGAAATTAATAATATTATAATCCAGAACATTCTGAATTTTATTAAAATGTATCGTACAATGATCAAACAGAACAAATATTTCAAAAAAATATATACTTTAACTCTATTTTTTCTTTCGATTACATATAATTTTATAATGGTATAATAAACTTCGAATTATCAAGTATGTTTTAGCAAACATGTTCATTTTTGGTTGGTTTTATCATTTTTATCAACAAAATTATTTGAAACATTATGGTTTTTTGCCAATTTAAAGTTAAATTTAACAAATAAATAAATATTTTTATATATTTTTAGGGGACCAATTTTCATACCCCCACATTTAATATTCATACCCCCCTGCAGATTTACCTTTTTTTTAAACCTTGAGTAAAAATATTTTAAGAACTATCAAATAAAATTTAATAAACTTTTTTTTCTTTAAATTCTATAGATACATATAATTCGAATAAAAAAAAGTTTATTGATTTTTGCCCAGTAGTTGCTAAGATATCTTTGCTCAAAGTTTGAAAAAAATCAAAACGTCTATCAAAATGTTTATCAAAACAAACTACAAAATTTTCTTTAAACTTTGAGTGAAGATATTTCTGCAACTACTAAGCCAAATTCAATAAACTTTTTTTTGTTTAAATTCTATTAATTTATAGAATTAAAATAAAAAAAAATTTATAGAATTTAACTTGATAGTTATAGAATTATCTTAACTCAAATTTTAATAAAAATCCAAAACGTCTATCAAACATTAGCTGCGCCAAACTTTTTTCCAAACTTTAAACAAAATTATCTTATCTAGCACCAAGTCAAATTTGATAAAAAATTTTTTGTTTGAATTCTATGAATTCGTAGAATTTAAATAAAAAAAAATTTATCAAATTTGGCTTGGTGGTTGCTAAATTATCTTCGCTTAAAGTTTGGAAAAAAATTTGGCATAGCTTCTGTTTTGATAGACATTTTGATTTTTTTAAAAATTTGAGTGTAGATAACTCTATAACTATTAAGTTAAATTCTATAAATTTTTTTTTATTTTAATTCCATAGAATCATAGAATTCAAACAAAAAAAGTTCATTCAATTTGGCTTAGTAGTTGCAGAGATATCTTTGCTCAAAGTTTAAAGAAAATTTTGTAATTTGTTTTGATCGACATTTTGATAGACGGTTTGATTTTTTTCAAACTTTGAGCAAAGATATCTTAACAACTACTGAGCAAAATCAATAAACTTTTTTTTATTTGAATTCTATGAATCTATAGAATTTAAAGAAAAAAAAGTTTATTAAATTTAATTTGGTAGTTGCTAAAATATTTTCACTCAAATTTTTAAAAAAAGTTAAATTCTGTAGGGGGATATAAATATTAAATGTGGGAGTATGAAAATTGGTCCCCTATTTTTATTTTTAAATAATATTTTTTATTATTGTTTATTCATTATTATTTTTATTAATTGGGTTTTTAATTTGTTATAATATGTTGCGAAATAAGATAAGTATTAATTTTTCGTAATTTATCATGAAAAATTCATGCCATTGAGGCATCGAGACATATTATAACATTGTATACTATATTTATCGCAGGCCAAGTAGAATGAGAAGATAGCTTTCTTATATTAGGGGACCAAACATTATTTGGTGAGTCCTATCAAAGAAAGTATCCTGCTAATAGCATTAGCAGCTGCCCCTTGGGGGGCTTTAGGAGGGAGAAAAATTAAAATAATTTATTTTTTTAGTATTAATATTTTTTTAATTTAAATTATTTTAAATTTTTCAGTAAAAACATGTTTTTTAGCTTAAAATTTTATTAAATATTGTTAAAGTACAGAATTATTTTTATACAATCGAAATATATTTAATAAAGAAAAAATTTTAATAAAATAAAATTATATTTTAATTTTATATTATATTTATTATATAATAAAAATATTTAAACACATATTAAGTTCAAATTTTATTAAAAAATTAGTTGATAAATCAAAAAATTTACTTTAATTTTCAGAAATAATGAAAGATTTTAAACCAATTCACACTGAATTTACAGCTTTCATCTTATGTCGCAAATAGCGAAGAACTTGTGTTAGAAAAGAAAATACAAAAAAATGTGAAAATTGTCTTAGAAAGAATATTGCTTGTATTTGTTATAAACCAGCTAATATGGAAGATTCAATTGTTAGCTTGATACAAGAAAACAATAAATTAAAAAAAAAGCTAAAGTTATATGATAATGAATTGCACGAATTAAAATTAATTATCAAAGAAAAAAAACAAGATCAATAAACAATTAAAAAAAATTGTAAACAAACTTTAATATTATTATATTTTTAATATTTATTTTATTGTAATTTAAAAAATACTTCATATAAATAAAAATATTTTTATATTATTTAATTTAATAATATAAATAAATTTAATATATTTATAATATATGCTTTATTTAAATATTATCCCTTTTGACACCAAATTCGTACATTGGAACATTTAAATTTATACATTGGGACATTTAAATTCATACATTGGGACATTTAAATTTATACATTGGGACTTTCAAATTCGTACAAAAGGACAATTTAATTCAGATTAATAAAAGTGCAATAACTCGTGATCTAGTAATCCAATTTTGATGATTTTAGTGCCATTAGAATCGCCTCAGTGAAAGGATTCGAATAGTACTAAGATCATCAAAATTGGATTACTAGATCACGAGTTATTGCACTTTTATTAATCTGAATTAAATTGTCCTTTTGTATGAATTTGAAAGTCCTAATGTACGAATTTAAATGTCCCGATGTACGAATTTAAATGTTCCAATATACAAATTTAAATGTTCCAATGTACGAATTTGGTGTCAAAAGGGATATAATTAAACTTTGAAATTCATTCAGAGCTGTGCGGTAATGCTCAAAAGCAAAGCTTTTAAGCATAAAAAAAAGACCAAGTGGGCACAGCACCCACTTGGGCTTTTTTTTAGTATTACTGCACAGCTAATATGCTCATCATATTAGAATAATGTATAGTAAAAATAAGTATAAAATTATATTTAAAAATTTTATAAGTTTATTCTTGTGCATTATTGCACAGGTTTACAACTAGTAAATAAATAATTTTTTTTATTATAAAATTTTTGCTGATTTATTAATTCTTAAATATTTTATATTCTAAGTTTTAAACTAATAAGTAAATTAGTTGATTAGTGGGTGGTTGGTTTTTTAACTAGCAGGTGAATTGGTAGTTGGTTTTAGCTAGAAAGTAAGTAAAGCATTTGGTTTTAATTATTATAAAAGTATATATACAAAATTCCAAACCCACCATAAATTAGATCTAGCTGCAAACCAAAGAATTCTTGTTAACAAATTTTTTTTTTTTTTTTAAATAGCTAGGCAACCTATTATAAATATAATATATACTAGATCCAAGATCTATTAAAGGGTTTTAAAATTTGTGAAATAAAACAAACTCAGGTCTTGTATATACTAACAAATAAATGGAGTAGTATTTTTTATTACGTGGATAAGTGTAGAATAAGTGTATATACAGTATGTATTAATGTCAGTTAATATCTGAATATGTATATGTACATACATACATACATACCAAATTTTTTACATTTCTATATTAGGATTTTTATTATATAATATGCGTCATTTTTATTTAATACATGTAGATCATTTTCTTTAAGCTAGAGAATTATTTCAAAAATTACAATATGAAGTTTCAATTAGAGAAGCACTATTTATCACCTGATTTTTTAGGGTAGAGGGGGGTCTGAAAATTATCAGGTTCTAATAGTAGATAACTTTTGATTGGTTAAAATTTTTTAAAATTTTTTAAAAATTTAAAATTTTTTTAAACTTTATTAAATAAAATTTGAACCAATAATCCATTTTGGATAATTTTACTACCAAAATGTTCATCTCAATGAGACAATTCC